TTTAACTTTAAGAAAACCTCATTAGACATGTACTTCATAGATTTCTAGTGTATGTTATGGGTCTAATAATATTCGCGATTAATTACGATTTACGATATGCATGTCATATGTTTCTTTAAATTTTTTTTTTATATCACAGTAAATAAATAAAATATTTTAGGGTGTACACTTAATTTCTCAGGTTCTCACATATAACAATTTATTTGGTACTAATATACTCATAAAATTTTTTTCTTACAACTATTTCATAATTACTAATAAACTACTATATCCCTTCTTTCATAAAAGTCTTTAATTATCTATCGTGATTTGGTTTGTATTGACATAATCAATAACTTATAATATAAATTTTTAATAATGTTGTATATTTTTAGTTCTTATTTTCATTAATGCAAAATGGAATTGCTAGTACCTTCTTATATATGATATAGTATAGCATGAATCTTAGTGTACAAGACTATCTTTGTAAGGATATTATGGCATTACAAAATATAATTATTATTTTGAACCAAAAAAATTAGTAGTTGTTTTATTAATTTGATATTTTCAAGGATAAGACATAGATCTATCATACAAAAATGATAATCATAACCTGTTATAGCAAGTTGCCAAGTACCTGGGAGGAAATTTACTACATGAAAAACTCTATCATGACTAAAAGACGTGGCATCAATATATTGGATTTGCCTTAATGGAATGGTTCCCTTAAAATCACTAAAGGGACGGTAGAATTTCCTTTTACTTGGATATCCATTATTGGCTACCTAGATTTTTTTTAATAATCCAAAACCATTTAAGTGAGGTGAATATGGATGGTTAAATGGTTATGGATGACGATTGCCACCTCTACCACTAATAAATGAATTCTTTGTATATTTTTGTCTAGCTATTGAATCATTTACCAAGACATTTTTGTCTAACTATTAAAGAATATAATAATATTAAGGAGAAGAAGCAGCCAAAACTAATGGAAATTTGTTTTAATTAGACTTAAAAGCATTTGGACCAAACAACTTTTTGATTGCAAACATGGATAAGAAATTCAAAATCTGATTGAAACATGCAATACCCTTGAATATCCCGAATCAAATCAAACGCTAGCACGATTTGATGATCATTTAGCATTTATCTTCACTTGTAGGATTATCTTCACTTGTAGGATTTTTATGTAGCTAAAAGTATATGATGATCTTGATTTGGAAAGAAAGGACAAAAAAGAAGGAAAAACCAGTAAGGGAATGATCAATTCAGTTAATGAGAGGAAAAATGTAATTTGTGAAATTTTAGAAAATACTTAGATCATTTCGAATGGAGTTTGACTTTTAATTTGTCAGGGTATTCTGTTAGTATTTTTTAGTGCATATGTTGGTTTTTAATTTTTTAAAATTCTAGGGGTAAGCTTGTTCCAAATGGCACTTGTGAGGCCTCATGCATCCTCATGATTCATGGCTTCCTTCCTCTGCAATTTTTTTGAACTAAATTCGAACAGTTTGCTTCTACTCTTCGGCCTATATATGCAAATTCAAACCAATTGCCCATTTTAACCATTTGAACTGATTGTTGTAATCATACATTTGCATGGCATACAACATGGTTTTGAATAAATGAATCAAATGGAGGAATTACAATCACCCGACCTGAGATGTTTCCAACCATCCATTAATGTTCATTACTATGCCACTCCTCTTGACACACTGATTGCCGTAAACGTATTCTAGCATAAGTGTAGATGAATCGGGTATAAGTCAAGAATAGCTAGGTGTAAAACATAGGCTATGGGGCTTGCAGAGTGTAGTTGCATACAAATTTAGGAACACAAAGTAAGTGGTAAGGACCCTAGTGTAAATCTCGAGGATGGTAGGAATAGATTGTAGATTTTCAGGCTGAATCCTAATTTTGGAGTAATTGTACATACGATCAGTGCGAATTAAAGGAAATTTGGTATAACCAACTGGATCTACAATTTAGTTGGGGTAAATTTTCATTTGAGTGGTATGCAGCACAGGATTGAGTAAACTAATAAAATAGTAAGATTATGATCACTCAACCATCCGTTAACATTCACCGCCATACCACTTCTCTAGATGGAATGACCATCGCAAATATATTTTGACGTATGAGTAGATGAATTATGTGTAAATTGAAGGCAACTAGGCGCAAAACAAAAGCTCTTGGACTTGTGGAGTGTAACTTCATATAGATTCAGGAACACAAGGTAGGTGTTGAGTAGGGATGTAATCGAACCGAGCTGCTCGCGAGTTCAAAAGCTTGACTCACACTCGGTCAAAGTCGAGTGCGAGTCGAGCTCAAGTAGCTCATTAATATATGAAGCCGAGTTCGAGTATTAATTTGTCAAGCTCGATGGCTCGACGAGCCTTAATGAGCACAAATTAATTAATTAAAAATATATATTCAGTTATTACAATTTTACTCTTTTAGACTTGGAGTTGTCTAAATTACCAAAATATTGGCTATAACTTTAAAATATTTATAGGTCATATAGTCATTTCACAAGGATAAAAACAACTTGAGAGGTAAAAAAACAAAATTGGCTTTTCCTAATTCCTCTTTCCTTCTTAATCGATCCTCTTCCAAGACTACTACTGAGTTACTCTCCTGACTCCTCCTCCTTGTCTGAACTTCCGAGAGTCCAAGCCTTCAACAAGATTGGAAGCTCGATTTTCGCTTGCTAGTTGCTACCACTCATCTGTACGATTGCATCTTACCACACGGTCCATACTATACGGCCGTTGCTGTTGTTGTATTTACTGAGAGGGTTGGCTTCATTTCTTTCCATCAGCCATGGCCTATCAACCATTGCTGCATTTTCTCTTTGCAGCTTTGGTCGTCCACTGAAAAAAGGTATTGAGCTAATTATTTGCTATAATTTGCATCCCTTCAAAAATTTTCTAAATTTCTTCAAACCCTAAGTTCTAAAATTGGGGCTTTTATTTCATTATTTGTAAAGGTTGGGGGGTTGAATCGATTGATAGCTCAAGGGAAAGATGGAAAAAGAACATGGGCCAAATGACACTTCGAAAACTGATTCGGCATCCATCGCAAGAGTAGGACTTACGTCATATTCGTCCATTCCTCTGTCGTCAACTGCTTGCAGACTAACTGTTTGATTATATGTTACTGTTAATTGTTACTTCTGATCTTTTTCATTTGTCTGCAACAGAATTTAGTAGAGTTCTTTATTTGTTTGTTTGTTTTTTTTTTTCCTTTTCCTTATGAGATATGGTAGTATAAGTAGGAAAGTATTACCGAGAGAAGAAGTTTCCTTTTGCTTTTCGAATATTTTGCATGGACTATTTAAGACCTTGGCATTTCATGGGACAGGTATGAAGTCTTGGGAGACCAGAAATCGAGAAAAAGTTCAGCAATCGCTTAGTGAAATTACATATGGAAGTTTCTGTTTTTGTCCATTATTTGCAACTAATATGTTTCTAGCTACTACAGATTTTATCCCAGTGGATTACAAATTGCTATTGAAAGCCTATATGTTTACTTTTGTTGATTTTTGTTTGAAACCAAGGTGGACTTCTCTCTTCATTAAAAGGCTCCAGTCCCACTTCAAAAAAAAGGACAATAATGAATCCTAGATTTTATACAAGTTCGATGGTAAAATTCTCATTATACAACTATTGTGCATTGCCAAAGTAGACTTTAGTTATACAACTATTGTACAACTATTTTTCTGCTGCAACCCCCCATGCCATTACAGCTCCTGTTTACCGTGTTGTCACCCTTGCACCCTTACATGCTCCGTTGCTCACCAAACAACTCTACTCGTCCATTCACTTTGGCAAAATTAACTGAAGCCATCTAGGCTTTACCTAGCTGGCTAAAACTTTCTTTAATTTGTTTGTCCTTTTTATTTTTGTGTTGGTAATAACAGACTTGTTTGAATTGTAGTTATCTAAAGAAAAGTTTTTACGTCTTTTTTGAATTTTTTTTATTTCATATACATCAAATTATCATTATAATAATATACTTTTTTATACAAAACTTTAAAGAACAGCGATCCTAAACAGATAGCTTTCTATACTCCAATGAATTAATTATGAATCATGCATCTTTTAATTTCACAATAGCAATTTGTGATGCATCACTTTCACAATTCTTTTTCTATAAGGCTTGTCTATCAGTCCACCAGAGATATCTTCATTGCCACGACCACATACGTCAACTGGTGATTCTACCACTCGATTGCAATTAGATGACCCTATTTTTGTGAGCAATGAGGAGATGAATCAGATGATAAACCAAGATGCTCAGGCATCAGATCAAGGTGCTCATGTGAAATCATCCACTCTAGTTCAAGAAGCTGTGGAAGTGACAAATAATCAACAAACACAAGCTGAAACTGTATGGGGAGAAGAATTTCGAATTCCAAAAAGAAGCAAGACATCCGAGGCTTGGGATGACTACAAGGAATTCGACGAAGATGGAATTTACAATGCAATAAGAAAATATCACGAGGCAAAAGTAAACAAACAACAAGTATGTGGAGGCATCGGAACTCATGTTTGGCTAGAAAAGCAAAGATGAGACAAGCTGCGCAACAAACAAAAATCAATTTCCAGTCATCTGATTTGACTTTTCCAAATGTTCCAGCCTTGCATTCGTGTAAATTTGACATGGAAAAAATGCGGGAGGTAGCTGCTCATTGGATTTTAATGCATGAGCATCCATTTTCCATATTAGAAGAAGAAGGGTTCAATATGATGATGAAATGTGGGATTCCCGAATGGACAAAAATCTCACGAGTGACTGGAAAAAATGATTGCACAGCAGTTTATGAGGCGGAGAAGAAGAAAATTAGAAATCTTTTGAGACAAGTCAGCAAATTAAGCCTCACAACTGATTTGTCGAAGGCAAAAAATCAGAAAATAGAGTACATGGTTATCACTAGCCACTGGATTGATGCAAACTGGAAGTTGCAAAAACGGGTACTTAATTTCGTTCACATTCCACCACCAAGAAGAGGGGTTGAAATCTCTGTAGCAATTTTTAAATGTGTTAAGGAGTGGGGTGTTGACAACAAGATATATTCGATTTGATAATGCATCAAATAATGATGTAGCAGTGCAACTTTTGAAGAATGACTTGGCAAGATCGAGAAAGTTAGTATGTCGAGGAAAATTGTTTCACGTACGTTGTTGTACTCATATCTTGAACCTCATGGTTCAAGATGGCCTCGGTGAGATTGAAGACATCATAGAAAATATTAGAGATAGTGTGGAATTTGTGGGCAGGTCTGATGTTCGGACTCTTCTATTTGCTAAAATTGCACGGCAACTACAAATACCTGGAAAATCTCTAATCCATGATTGTAGGACTAGGTGGAACTCGACATATGAGATGCTCAGTTGTGCTATCAAGCTCAAGGAAGTCTTTCCACGCTACCAAGATAGAGAGCCGCGCTATGATTGTTGTTCATCTGATGAGGAATGGGAGAAAGTTGAAAAGTCTATGGTATATTAGAGACTTTCTGGACTATCACTCATATAATCTCTGGCAGTGAATATCCGACAAGCAATTTATTTCTTCAGGAGATTGTTAAGGTGAAGAGACTTCTAGATTCAAAAGTGAATGACGGTGATGACTTTATACGAGCAATGGTGCGAAGAATGAAAAATAAATTTGACAAATATTAGGGTGAATGCAACCTATTGATGGCAATTGCTGCAATTTTGGATCCAAGGCAGAAAATGCATGTTTTAGAGTTTGTCTTCCCAAAAATATATTCAGCTCTTGAATGTTAAGAAAATATTACCAAAGTCCAAAAAACTCTATTTGAAATGTATAAAGAATATGTCTCAGCGGTTGTTAGTTCAAGTGGATCTACAATTGAGTCCTAGCATGGAGCATCTCAAGGGAATCAAACTTTTGATTGGGATGATGACTTTGATGAATATTGCGAAAAAGTAGAGACTTTGGAGCCTCGCAAATCTGAATTGCAAGATTATGTTGATAAACCTCGTCGAACAACTGCAACCGGCTCAAAATCATTTGATTGCTTAGAGTGGTGAAAAGTCAATAGTATCTCGTACTCGATATTGTCTCAAACGGCCTGTGATATCTTGGCCATTCCTAAAACTACAGTAGCATCCAAGGCAACCTTTAGTGTTGGCACTAGAGTCGTTGATCCCTATCGAGCTGTGTTGGCTCCGAAAACAGTTCAAGTCCTTACGTGTGGTGGAAATTGGTGTAGATATTTTCATGGGATCAAAAAGAAATCAAGAGTGAGTTTTATATGCTAAAATTTCACTATTCATTACTTTGTTATTGATTTTCTATTTTTTTTTTATCTTTTAAGTTATGTGTATTCTTTTTTTGGTATATACAGCAGCCAAAGAGTACCAAAATAATTGAGCTGCCACAAGTTTGATATCCAGCTTTGGGTGTAGTTAGGTGATTCCGATCTATCATTTCTAAATTTCTACTTGTTTAGTCATTCAATTTTGTTTTAATGCGTGCCTTTAGTTGAAAAAAATATTTAAATGTCTTGGTGATAGGAGTTGATCATGGTTAGATGGCTGAAAGCTGGATTGGATGGCTGCTTTACAGGGACATTTTTGCCGCTGCCTTTGTTTTTGCTCATTTGCTGCTTTATCTATGAAGTTGTTTGGGTGCTACAATATTATCTTGTGTAGACTTGCAAGTTTTAGGTTGCTATAGCAGTAAATTACTTTTGTTTTGGACAGTTTGTTGCCACTTACATGCTTGAAATTGTTTTGGTGCTGGCTTGCTACTAAAATATTGTCTTGTGTAAGACTTGCAAGTTGTAGGCTGTTGTGGTAGTAAATTACTCTTGTTTTGGGCTATTATTTTCATGCTAGCTATTTGGCTGTTAAATGTTAATGTAATCATCAGTGATCACTGATTAGACAGGCTCAATTTATGACTTCTACTTTCTAGTTTCTACTTTCTACAACTGTTTTCCTAATTTCTTTTTGGCATAATAGGATATGGACCTTTCTTGTGATGAATTGCAAATGCTCCAACTTGTTTTAATTGCTAATAGCCTGTTCTAAATCAAGAAATTGGGCTTGCATCAATCTACTTTGCATGAAGAATTATATTCTGCAATTCTAGAAGTGGATAAGGATCTCGAGCTCGAGTCAAGTACTCGAGCTCGATCATACTCGCAAGAAAATCGAGTCGATCTCAAGTTTTCAAGCAATTTTTCGAGTTCGAGTTCGAACTCGATTTCTTCTACTCATTCGAGCTCGAGCTCGAGCTATATCTCTACTGTCGAGTCGAACGCGAGTATCGATTACATCCCTAGTGTTGAGGACTCTGATGTTAGTCCAAGGATGGAAAGAATAGATCACAATTTTTTGGGGTCATGGGTTGATCCATGGTTGAAACTTGATTTCAAGATAATTGTACCATAAGCGATTGAATCCAAGCACATTCGTATAACCAACTGGTTAGTAGAATTCGACAGGAATGAACATTATTCAGAATATAGCTATTGTTGGAGGTGTCATGTCTGAGATTGTTCCTACTTGAGAAAAAAATTGATAACCGGCTGTTACAATATTAAAATTTTGATAAGATTATTCAAGAATGGATATTGAAGTTCAACTTCCCGACTCTTGATCGCCAACCGAATTATCGAGTTGCATATTTTAATTAGATATTTCATATATTCCATTTCTACAAACACATTATATTACTTATTAACATATTAATCAATATTGGAACAAATTTAGGTTTTTACCCATATACGGACATGTGATCATATATTTGCGTAGGATGGAACAGGGGATTGAATAAACTACTAAAATGGTACTATTATTACCCGACCTGGGTATTTTTAACCATCCATTGACATTCACCTCTATGCCACTCTTCTAGATAGATTGATTGTTGTCAATGTATTTTTGTGTAAGGACAAATGAATCGGATATAAGTAGAGGACAATTAGACATAAAACTTAGGCTCTTAGAATTGTGTAGTGCAATTACATACAGATCCAGGAAGAGGAAATGGGTATCGAGAACCCTAGTGTGAGACACACACAAAAGAGAGGAAGTGGGCATTTCTAACTTAGTGTATAGGGACAAAATTCAAAATTACACCAAAGATCTAAGAGCTCACTTTAAATCTTTAAGTATTTTAAACCACTTAAACAAAAATAAATAAAATCTGACTAGATTTGCCCAATCACTTTGTTGTACAAGTTATGGTATATTAAATGAAATTTTAGTTAGAGAAATTGACCAACTAACAAAAAGCAAGCAATGCGTATCTAAGGGAGAATATTGTAAACTGTGTTAGTATCTTCATTTTATAGTGATCTAGTGAGCAACAATAAGAAATTTTAGATTTCACTAAACCAATAAAGAAAGAAATATATGAATGAATGAATCATTAGACAATTTACAAAAGATGAAGATAATAGACCTAACATACCACTAATAGACGAATTCTTTGTATCTTTTTATCTACCTATTGAATCATCTATCTAGACATTTATTCAAACAAGTAGCAGGCATCTTGTATGCATTAGAACAATTATGGTATTCATCAATCACATAGAGGAACAATTATGGACTTTAGAATCCAATATACTACTAATCTACCAAGTCAAACAAAAGAATAAACTACATGGACTTGAAATTCAAGAAAAGAATATAAGAATATTAAGGAGAAGAAATAGCCAAAATTAATGGAGTTTTGTTTCAAGGAATTTTGTAATAGGTGCCCATTGGACATGTGTTAATATGGATAAGAAACAACCTACTTAATTAATGCATTAATTATTTCATATTTTGGAAAGTTATTTTTAAGAAATTCAAATGCTAAATGACATACGTAACTTTTTTTCTAAAAATAAATATTACAAATCTTCTAATAACACTTATCTTTCTACCACCAAGATAATGAATTCATTATGGCACAAAATGTGATGCTTTAAATGAAAAACCACAATATGAAAATGTTGGCTCATGTTTAAAATCTTCAATGCTTTGAGAAAATATATTAAAGACAAAACAAATGCAAAATCCAAGAAAAAATTATCATTTTAGTTGAAAATGTTCTTGTATTGGAAGTTCGACTTATTTTAGTTTTTGACATGTTTTCACATTAAAATCATTGATTTAGTTTTGACTAGTGCTATAGTGTTAAATTAATTTATCAAATAAAAGAAAATGAAAATCTAGTAAACCAAGTACATACAATTTGTTTAATCAAGAGAATTAAGGTGCGTTTGATAAAATTAAAGTTTTAAAACAGAAATCTAAAATCTAAAATCTCAAGTCTGAATCCATTAATTTATTGAATTGTTAAGTCTTAAATCTGATATATATTAAGTGTATATCACATTAATTGATAAGTGAATAAATTATCACTTTTTTTGGAGCACTTTTGCCTACGAAATTCAGTACTACTTAATTAATTTAGATGTTCAATTTTTCGTTATCAAATGTTTCTAAACATATTAAGATCTAAATCTATTAAATTTAAGTGCTGAATTGAGTTATCAAACAAGGCCTTAGAATATCATGTTTGATATGCTTGTTTTGTCGATATTTTTTGAATTTATCATTTTTTGTATTTTATTTTTTAACAAGTCATAAAAATTTATTATTCCATATATTCTTCCAAAATAAATTGTATTTTTCCTTTCAATTTGTCAATTTTATGGGGATAAAAAGTTCCTAGTTCATACTGGTCTCTCTCTCTTTTTTAATAAGCCATAATGTTCATGTTTGGTTTTGTTTAGAATTTGGAAACCTACTATCTCTTTGTAGTTAGAAAAAATAAAAGTAAAAAATTAAATAACCTTGGGAACTTTGACAGTATTATGCATCTTTTAGACCCACAAAGAAAAAAGAAAAACAATAGTACAAAGTTGGCGATGCTTTTATTATTAGTTTTACGAAAATGAATTATTAGATTCTAAAATTATGTTGCCAAAAAGATGGCAAGTAAACAAAAAAAAAAAAGAAAAAGAAAAGAAGAGATGTAGTTGAAGTACAAATAATGAAACTTTCACTCTATATTTGTTGGTCTATTTGAAAGGGATAATTTCAGAAACCTCTCTTAAGGTTAGGCCTAATCTCACGTCGCACCCTTGTGGTTTCAAAATTAGCACTTAGTTCCCTTTGATTGACATTTTGTGTAAATTTGTCAGCCCTTGAGGTATAATTTACCAATAAATAATTCAGTTTACATGAGAGAGAAGAATTACTTCCATATGTACCCTTATGATCTCTCTTATATGAAAAAATTACTACAACTAGTAGAAAACATAAAGAATAAAAAATGAGGAGGTGTAAGTGAAATAAGGCAAAATTTTAGCTTCAGGTTGCATAAGTTAAACTATGAAGTAGTCGTTACTGCAACAACTACTTTCCTCTATCAAATTGTACTATAAAGGCAAGAGCAAAAAAGCAAAAAAACCACACAGGTTTATCAGCTTTCCTGAAGATTGAAATAAGAAATTGGGAAAAGAACTTGATGCATGTTTCATGGCAAGTTCCACCAAAGGAGGACCGTCATATAATTCTTCAACATCTTTTACCTTCAGGAATTGATATTGTGGTTGCAATAGGAAGGCGACAATAAGGATTTCGAAAAATGAAAAAAATTCGAACAAGCTATATTTTTGCTGCTTTAGATGCAAATATTTCCAAGTGGTATGAAGGCAATGAAACTGATGAGGTTTCATGCCAATGCCGACAAGTCAATTCTACAATCAATAATGGAAGACGTCTGCAGAATAGAAGGCTGGAACTACCAAATTCCTGGTTCACCATGTTACTGATGAAAAATCTTATTCTCCTGGCTACATATGTTTTTATTCTCATTGTTCAAGCGATTAGATAGGCCTATGAAATGTAGAATTATCCTAACTCTATGTGTAGGACAAAAATGCAACAGCAGGGTATAATTAGTTATATTCTAATGCTTGAGAACATTAAGTGACTCATTATATGAAGACTTGCATATCTGTGTCCTGTCAATGCTTTTATGTTAATACAAATTTAGTATAGCAGCAAGGTTGTGACAAAGAAGACTTGTTTATAGTTGGTAATGAAGTAATGCATACATGTTTCCTCACGTATCTACCAGATATCAATATAATGAGTCAAAAAGCAGTACATACAACATGTCCATTGCAGAAGCAGTAAAAAGATCAATTTTGCTATCCAGGAGTACAAGCCAATCTCATTGTTCAATTAGTTAATAGAAAACAAAGTGCAAGTTCAAACACCACAAATAATCAGATAAGAATTGACTATAGCAGAAGAATACTAATAAGGATAACCTTGTTATTATAGCCTTGTTATCAAAGTATCAAGGATATATTACACAGTCTAATAAGCAACAATCCATGACAAAAGCAAATAACCATCTTTTAACCACTTAAAAGATGGATAGGATTGCAGATTTTTACTGAACTTTACAGCAATATTAGGCCAAATTGCAATCCAGTTTAGTCTATAACACCATCTACAACTAGTTGTTTAGATGGTGAAGATTGCAATGCCCATAAGCCACACAGTCAGGTGTACTTGTATGTACAAAAGATACAAGTGGTGCAAGAAATTTACAGCAATATCATAGTGCAACACTTAGGCAAAAGCATTACTATTATATTTTAAAAGCCAGAACCTGAATTTACCATATAGTTACTACTACTTTCCTCTATTAATAAGAAGAGGAAACAACACTACTTAGAATCTCAAACTGAAGCTACTACTTATGCTCCGAGAGGCCACAACTGTAGCAGTGCTAATGCTCACAGAAGTTTCAAATTGTGATACTCCAGTGGGAATAGCTCTAAAACCTATCACAACTTGATTTCCTGATGTGCATGGTGCATTTGCACGACTTTGTGAATT